ATAGAAAGATGATAGATGATAGATAGATAGATAGATAGATGATAGATACATAGATGATAGAAAGATGATAGATAGATAGATAGAAGATAGATAGATAGATATGATAGATAGATAGATAGAAAGATGATAGATGATAGATAGATAGATAGATAGATGATAGATACATAGATGATAGAAAGATGATAGATAGATAGATAGATGATAGATAGATAGATAGATGATAGATAGATGATATAGAAAGATTATAGATAGATAGCTGATAGTATAGATATAGATATACATAGATGATATAGATAGATATAGATATATTGCCAGAATTATAATTTCTTATGCTAAAACAACTTGTAGCTCAGTATTAAATCTGGTAATTCTCATTTATCCAAGACAAAGAGATAAGCTTTATTACCATGCAGTGCCGAACATTTCTTCCCCCTGTTTTTTTTTTTTTTTTTGAAAATCTCTTCTTTTCTCCTCAAATTTCTAACCTGCGCTGACCTCAAAAGAACACGGGCAGCTTCACAAGACAAAAACCGCAACAGGCTGCATAAAACAATAACACAATATCATATAAAAACACCAACGGGCGTGTGGAGGGAACCACAAAAACATCACGTACTCCGTCCCTCGCTACTAAAAAGCGAGCGATCCTGCCAACCGACTATAATTCCAAGTTTCCAAGGGGGAAATAAGCAGGTTTTTAAAGATGGCTTAAAGTTAGATTAAATGTGGGGGTGTTGTTTTAAAATGAAAATGGGAGTTGGGGGTTTGAAGAAGTAGCATCGTTGCCCACGTGGAGCCCAATCAGTAACCCCAAAACTGGTCACAAGTTTTGATTTCTATTCTGTCTGTTATAAACAGCTGGGCCCACCTCACAGGGTTGTTGTGAGGAAAATAGGAGAAAGGAATATTAGATACGTTCGCCACCTTAGAGATATATGGAACCAGGGACAAAAATAAAAATCTAAAGGTTAGGCCCAACCATCAACCCAAAAACCAATCATAAGTTTTATTTTATTTCTGTTTTGCCTGTTCTAAACAGCCCAGTCCACCTGACAGGGTTGTTGTGAGAAGAATAGGGGAAAGGAATATTGGGTGTGTTTGCCACCTTGAAATTCTACATGAAAGAAGGATAAAAATTAAAATTGGGGCCGAACCATCAACCCCAAAACTGGTCACAAGTTTTATTTCTATCCAGCCTGTTATAAACAGCTGGGCCCACCTCACAGGGTTGTTGTGAGGAGAATAGGAGAAAGGAATATTGGATGTATTTGCCACCTTGAAATCCTACATGAAAGAAGGAATAAAAATTAAAATTGGGGCCGAACCATCAACCCCAAAACTGGTCACAAGTTTTGATTTCTATTCTGTCTGTTATAAACAACCCGGCCCACCTCACAGGGTTGTTGTGAGGAGAATAGGAGAAAGGAATATTGGATGTATTTGCCACCTTGAAATCCTATATGAAAGAAGGGATAAAAATCTAAAGGTTAGGCCCAACCATCAACCCAAAAACCAATCATAAGTTTTATTTTATTTCTGTTTTGCCTGTTCTAAACAGCCCAGCCCACCTGACAGGGTTGTTGTGAGAAGAATAGGGGAAAGGGATATTGGATGTGTTTGCCACCTTGAAATCCTACATGAAAGAAGGGATAAAAATTAAAATTGGGGCCGAACCATCAACCCAAAAACTGGTCACAAGTTTTGATTTCTATCCAGCCTGTTATAAATAGCTAGGCCCACCTCACAGGGTTGTTGTGAGGAGAATAGGAGAAAGGAATATTGGATATGTTCGCCACTTTAAAGATATATGGAACCAGGGATAAAAATCTAAAGGTTAGGCCCAACCATCAACCCAAAAACCAATCATAAGTTTTCATTTTATTTCTGTTTTGCCTGTTATAAGCAGCCCAGCCCACTTGACAGGGTTGTTGTGAGGAAAATAGGAATATTGGATGTGTTTGCCACCTTAAAATCATAAATGAAAGAAGGGATAAAAATCTAAAAGTGCAATTTCTTTTCCAGCAGTGTTTTCCCAATCTTGGCCACTTTCAAGAGGCATGGACTTCAACTCCCAGAATTCCCCAGCCAGCTATGCTGGCTGGGGAATTCTGGGAGTTGAAGTCCATGCCTGGCTGGGGAATTCTGGGAGTTGAAGTCCATGCCTGACTGGGGAATTCTGAGAGTTGAAGTCCATGCCTGGCCGGGGAATTCTGGGAGTTGAAGTCCATGCCTGGCTGGGGAATTCTGGGAGTTGAAGTCCATGCCTGGCTGGGGAATTCTGGGAGTTGAAGTCCATGCCTGGCTGGGGAATTCTGGGAGTTGGAAGTCCACGC